AGAATTGACAGTGCAATTCTCTACTGACAACAGTTCATGCAGAAAGTTCAGTCAAGATGGCGGGGAAGCAGAATTGACAGTGCAATTCTCTACTGACAACAGTTCATGCAAGTTCAGTCAAAGATGGCAAGGGGAAGCAGAATTGACAGTGCAATTCTCTACTGACAACAGTTCATGCAAGTTCAGTCAAGATGGCGGGGAAGCAGAATTGACAGTGCAATTCTCTACTGACAACAGTTCATGCAAGTTCAGTCAAGATGGCGGGGAAGCAGAATTGACAGTGCTACTGACAACAGTTTCAAGTTCAGTCAAGATGGCGGGGAAGCCAGAATTGACAGTGCAATTTCTCTACTGACAACAGTTCATGCAAGTTCAGTCAAGATGGCGGGGAAGCAGAATTGACAGTGCAATTCTCTACTGACAACAGTTCATGCAAGTTCAGTCAAGATGGCGGGGAAGCAGAATTGACAGTGCAATTCTCTACTGACAACAGTTCATGCAAGTTCAGTCAAGATGGCGGGGAAGCAGAATTGACAGTGCAATTCTCTACTGACAACAGTTCATGCAAGTTCAGTCAAGATGGCGGGGAAGCAGAATTGACAGTGCAATTCTCTACTGACAACAGTTCATGCAAGTTCAGTCAAGATGGCGGGGAAGCAGAATTGACAGTGCAATTCTCTACTGACAACAGTTCATGCAAGTTCAGTCAAGATGGCGGGGAAGCAGAATTGACAGTGCAATTCTCTACTGACAACAGTTCATGCAAGTTCAGTCAAGATGGCGGGGAAGCAGAATTGACAGTGCAATTCTCTACTGACAACAGTTCATGCAAGTTCAATCAAGATGGCGGGAAGCAGAATTGACAGTGCAATTCTCTACTGACAACAGTTCATGCAAGTTCAGTCAAGATGGCGGGGGAAGCAGAATTGACAGTGCAATTCTCTACTGACAACAGTTCATGCAAGTTCAGTCAAGATGGCGGGGAAGCAGAATTGACTGTGCAATTCTCTACTGACAACAGTTCATGCAAGTTCAGTCAAGATGGCGGGGAAGCAGAATTGACAGTGCAATTCTCTACTGACAACAGTTCATGCAAGTTCAGTCAAGATGGCGGGGAAGCAGAATTGACAGTGCAATTCTCTACTGACAACAGTTCATGCAAGTTCAGTCAAGATGGCGGGGAAGCAGAATTGGGGAAGCAGAATTGACAGTGCAATTCTCTACTGACAACAGTTCATGCAAGTTCAGTCAAGATGGCGGGGAAGCAGAATTGACAGTGCAATTCTCTACTGACAACAGTTCATGCAAGTTCAGTCAAGATGGCGGGGAAGCAGAATTGACAGTGCAATTCTCTACTGACAACAGTTCATGCAAGTTCAGTCAAGATGGCGGGGAAGCAGAATTGACAGTGCAATTCTCTACTGACAACAGTTCATGCAAGTTCAGTCAAGATGGCGGGGGAAGCAGAATTGACAGTGCAATTCTCTACTGACAACAGTTCATGCAAGTTCAGTCAAGATGGCGGGGAAGCAGAATTGACAGTGCAATTCTCTACTGACAACAGTTCATGCAAGTTCAGTCAAGATGGCGGGGAAGCAGAATTGACAGTGCAATTCTCTACTGACAACAGTTCATGCAAGTTCAGTCAAGATGGCGGGGGAAGCAGAATTGACAGTGCAATTCTCTACTGACAACAGTTCATGCAAGTTCAGTCAAGATGGCGGGGAAGCAGAATTGACAGTGCAATTCTCTACTGACAACAGTTCATGCAAGTTCAGTCAAGATGGTGGGGAAGCAGAATTGACTGTGCAATTCTCTACTGACAACAGTTCATGCAAGTTCAGTCAAGATGGCGGGGAAGCAGAATTGACAGTGCAATTCTCTACTGACAACAGTTCATGCAAGTTCAGTCAAGATGGCGGGGAAGCAGAATTGACAGTGCAATTCTCTACTGACAACAGTTCACACAAGTTCAGTAAGAGTCTAGATAAATTTAAATCTACTTCGGTGTGACATTTAGAATTGAATTGGTTCAACTTTAGTTTAAAATAAAGCAGGATTCCTAAATTTTATATATTTCATTTATATATATATATATATATATATATATATATATATATATATATATATATGTTTGAATAAAAGACAGACCACGTTAAGATCCCATGTAATAAGCTATTTCACCATAACCCCTTTAACAGGATTCTGGATCATCAGACAGTTTACTTCAAAAGCTGAAATGAAAATGAAAAAGAAATTTTACAACGTTTTTACGGACCTCATCAAGTATACGCAAAGTTAACGAAGTGAGGAAGTGAGGTGGGAGAGAGGATATGAGTGTGTCATATGTATCATTTTAGTTTCCTATTTTAACCCCAGTGTGTCGGCTGGATGTTGCTCAAATTTAACGCGTCAGTCTCTAGATAAAGGTGGTTAAGGGGTGAGCGATAAGGACTACATTAAAGAGAGACGTTGCAATAACCCCAATAAATTTACACGACAGGTTTCATTCAAATTCTTAGACGCTGTCAGTTCGCGTTACTTTAACGTGCATATTTGGGAGTTAAGGTTTTGATAAATATCTAAATTTTCAAACAATCTACGAAGAAATTAATTTGAAATTCGGTGAGTTTTGGGTATTTTCTATGAAGCAGTCGATTGAAAATCCATAGACAGAACATTGGAAGAGTAATCCAATTTATATTTAGTACTTTTTTCCACTAAAACTTTTATCTTATAGCTTGTTAGGTTGATATTTATTCGTTTGATTTTTGTTCATTAAGTAAACTCGTGATTGGGGATTTTTGTTCTTTAAGTAAACTCGTGGTTGTTTTTATGTATCCAGTTATCAACAGTTATTCCCATTTAAATAATTTTTATTTTCCACATTGGAAAGTGTCTTTCAATCTCAATTAAAATACTAATCTAAAACTTTCCTTCGTTAAATATTTAAAATTCACTTCCAATTGGAGAATATTAGAGGAGAAATTTGGAAGAGATGTCACTAGCAGAAAATTAGCCCTTTTCTTTTACAATTTCTTATCTACATATTTCTTAAACCCCTATTTGTAACCACATCCCTATATCGTCTTATATGCCTATGAGTTCCTATATACACCTACACAACATTTCACACGAAACGATATATGTATATTTCCATCTATACACATATACACCTGCAGAGAAAAACGCACATCCACATGTCTCCATACCTCCATTCTCCATGTACATATACTTATATACATACATATATACATATACACACGGACATCTGCATATCCATATATACTCATACGCACATATATATATATATTTAAACATCCATACGTATACACATATACACATACATACACACACCCATATATGCATACATACATACATACATATACATACACACAAATATGCATATGCATACATAATATGCAGAATATCTACATACCCACATATGCGTTAATTTGCACTTACATATATCTACCCACGTATTTGTCCCTATCCTCATGTCCACCCGTGCATCCACTTATGCCTGCGTTCGAAGACTATCTTAGTATTTAATTACATTATCTATATATTTACACATATAATATTACCTGATCTTTCATATTTATGGCAAAATATATAAGTACCTATCTAATTGTACATCTCCACCCTCACAAAAAAAAAAAACAAAAAAAACCGGTATGCTTCTTTTTTCGTATAAAAAACATATGCATGTACATATCAACATGTGTCTCAGTGTGCAAATACATTATCATAGTTGTATACATATAGTCATGTGTTAGCTTTCACGTGTGCATAGTAATATTTCTAAAAACAAAGGGAATATAAAACATTCAAAATTGCTGTTCCTATATGATTATTTCTTAGTGTACTTGCTTAGGTTTAGGTTGTTTTTGTGCCGGCATTTAAAAACTAGTTCATTGTGTCTATTTAGTAGTATGTCTGGATCTTTAAGTTTGATTATGAAGATTTTCTCCTTCAAACATAAGTTGCATCTGTCTCTGAAGTTTTGGGGAGTTCTGGCTCTTGATATTATTCTCCACTCTATTTGTGGTGTTAGGCCACTCTTCAACAAAGACCAATAATGATTTGATAGTGCTGTTTGTTTTTTTTTTTACATTTATTTTTGAAGGATTGGCGATATTATTAAATATAACACACAATGAATATCGATTATATCCGATCATGAGACGTCTTAACGTTCGAATGTTTGCTTTAATTTCTGATGAAAATAAAGTCAAAAATTGTCCAACATTTGGATATCTTTTTATTAAGTCGGTCTTTAGCTTTCAGCTCCCATGAGCCATCCTCACAGTGGTTATACAGACATGAAACAAAGATATCCACCGTCAAAGATGATATTTTGTTATTTTGATATAGAAGTTTCCTATGCGACGATAACGATCGCGGAATAGCAGACGCAGATCGTAAGTTCAAGAAGCGGTTCTATGACGTCATACCAAGCGACAGACCGAAGTATTACAACAGAACCAATGTCTAGATGCAATGTACTGTGTTGTGACTAGTTTGAAATGTAATTTTATTGAGTGTGGGTTGCTTCGTTTTAATGTAGATGGCATCCATATCTGAAGGTTCTTTTTACTGTGCGTATTTGTGAGTGTTATTGTGTTATCAACTAATATCTGTCTAATATTATGTACATAGCTATATTTTTATAAGAAATTTGTTTAAATTTATTCCATACTATTATTTATTTTCCTTCTTTGTTTTTTCTCTTTCTTTATTATATCAACGAAATGTATTTCTGTGAATATTTTGAAACACGGAGTAAAAAAAAACAAACATGGATCCAGCCGACGTCAACAATGAAAACGACAAAATACGAAAAAAACTGTTGCTTTGAATTAGATATACTTGAATATTGACTCACACGTGCTAAGTCTGACAAGCCAGACCGCCAAAATAGCCACTGATACATATATATATATATATATATATATATATATATATATATATATATATACACAAATGTATATATGAACATACATATATATGTATATATACATATATATATATATATATGCCTATATATACATGCATAAACACGCATTCATTTCTCTCTCTCTCTATATATATATATATACCGACCGACGGATATATATATATATATATATATATATATATATATATATACAACGACACCCACAAACACACACCCTACACACTCACAAACAGACACCCCATATATATATATATATATATATATATATATATATATATATATATATATATATATATATATATATATATATATATATATATATATACATGTCTATATAGACATCTAAACAGGCATATACATATATTAGAGCTATTCTTGTTTTTGCATACCGATACGTAAAGTACACATATACATGCTATTATACATCCTACAATCACATGCATATTCCCACTTAATCTAACATTTCCAATCAGAAATATATATATATATATATATATATATATATATATATATATATATATATATATATATATATAGATATAGATATATATATATAGTTGAGAAAAATGAAATGCTCTCGGTCCGACGAAGAATGGATTAAAATAATTGATTAAGACTGTTGATGAGAAACTTTCTACGTCAGCAATTATTTGTTTTCCATATAAACAGCTAACTTCATTTCAAAGATGGAATGCAAATATATCGTAAATATATGATTTCTAAGACAGAAATAAATTCTAATTAGAGTCAAAACTCAATTTCAAGATAAAAAAAAATACAAACAAATCAAACGTCGGTATTGTGGAAAAAACAAATGTGTCCACGAACACAAGCAGTAATTAACTGGAAACGAAATAAGATCAAGTCATATATTTCGTGCCTAATTTTTAGAAACAAGAATTA